GAGTATAAAAATTATATGCTTATAGCAACACTGCATATCTCTATTGTAAGGCTTCACCTATACTATTAATTCCTCTCTGACCCTACTATCTCCGGAAGTCTTCACCTGGGTTCTTCTAATCAGGTACTGTCATCGTCCCACGCCGACTCTTCAGTTTCCAGTGGCCCCGAGCCAAAACCAGTAGCACATGTCCGCTTATCAGACACATGATTGCCGTCTACCACATCACCCAGATATGGGAATATAAACACTGTGTAACCTATGCCGATCATTTGGAGGGGTAAGCCAAATCCCCACTTTTTGTCAAAATTTTTGGAAGACCGATAGGAGAATGAGTAGAAGAAAAAAAAGAACCACCTGGCCGAGTAAAAGAGTGCAGCTAGAAGAAAGGCAAGTACTTGTTGTTTCCCCTGTGTTCCTCATTTCGAAGTAACAGCCTAAGTGCTTTGTTGACGGAGAAGACTCCAGTCTCTCCACCAAGATTTTGTATCTAAGAGCACACACCTCCTGTCAGTTATCTTGTATACCAACGCTTTTGGCTTGCATGCCAAACGCACAGCTTATAAAGGAGTCCCGGAAGAGAAAAACTATTAACCTCTAGGCAAATCACACATTAAGCCACGACTCTCCAACAAGATTTTTGGTTTTTTTCAGTAGGAAATTCTGGTCCAGATGATCGTTGGGGAGAGTTGTTGTTATATTTTAACTATTAATATTATAAAAAAAAATTTTTTTAATAAAATTAAATATTTTACTTAAAAAATAGAGGATTATTTTTTATACTCACCAGATTTATTATTCATACCCCCTTTCACGTAAATTTCCGGATGTTCACATGATTATGTAAAATGATGATCGATCCATGAAATATGATTGGACAATAATGTTGTGTGAGTATCTGGTTTACAGAAGAAATTCAATAAACTTCATTACTATTGTACATACATACGTACGTGAATTGGTAATACATATTTATTGACCTAATTATCAGTAAAAATATCTGTTTATTATTTATAACAAGCTATTACAGTTAGAACCGTATATATAAAAATATAAGATTTTTAAATTTTTTTTAAATGAGCTAGAATCTATAAAACAGTAAAAAAAAGAATAAAATCAGCAAAAAACCTCTTTACAAAAATTTATCTCATGAACTACCAGTTAGAAATACATAATTTTAACTAATAGTTTATAAGATTATTTTTTGTAAAGAATTATTTTTGTCAACTTTCGCTCCTTATTATAGCTTCAAGCCCATATTATTCATATAAGTGATTAAAAGTTTTTCAATACAATAAATGCATATATAAAAGTCAGCATATAACTTAACTAGTTAGTATATATAATAATTTAGAATTAGAGTTTCTTTATTAAATACTTCAATTACTAAGAAGCTACGGTTAATTTTTCCTATACTAGAGGTTTCATGTCATTATGCTAGTATACAATTGCATAAAAATCATTCCAATACGTAAAAAATTTAAAATTTCTTTTATTTAATTACAAGTCTAAGTTTATAATATATATTAATATTAATTATTTACTCTAGGCAAAATCAGGTTCTTAACAAAATAATAAAAGTCTTGAAAAATAATTACATTATTCAATTGATAAAAAAATCAAACATCATTTAACTGAAGCAATATGAAAATATACTCACCTATTGGTTTAAAAAAAAAAGTTAACAATTAGTTGTTCTTTTAGCTGCTAATAATCAATAAATTTGATTAGAAATCTTAACACTTTATTCTAATATATTACCCTATATAGCCTTATCATAAATCAATTTTTTCTAATATGGTAATCACTGACAAATTCAGAAGTACTAATCAAATAAAGTGTAGATAAATTATAAAGTCCTAAAATGGTATAGTATATGGCTTCAATCAATAAATTTTTAAGTACAATTAGTATGAGAAACAAAAGAATATAGCTTTGGTCAATGGGTTAATTTAATTTGATTAAGGAGATGCGACATGTAGTAGTGTTTCTAAAAATTTATCCTAAAAAAATATAGAATGTTGTTATAGAATAGATTGTGATAATACACAGGAGTGGTCTCCCAAGTTTTTGAATCAGCTATTAAATTTATTAACCACTTTTATCAACTCTATATATTATAGCATATTCTAAGCTGCATACTATACTTTTTTAGAGTAAATTATTAAAGAAAAGAGAGATAATATATACTAAAAAAGTGTAGAGTGTGGCTCTAAATTGATCGTGAAAATTTGTGTAAAAAAAAAATGCAATTGTAAAATGCTTAAAATAAAAAAGGCAAACCTGAAGCCCCAAGATGATATACCATTTCAAGAAAAAGTAGTAGAAAATTTCATATATATCTAAAAATATAAAAAGTAGTGGGAGTTAAAGTAATTACGGAAAAGAAATTATTTAATAATAATACACTTTTCTTTGCTTTTAAAAGTTTTCTCCAAAAGCTATAATTAATCGTGAATAATTTGTATTAATTTAGCATAAATTAAGTTTTAAAATAAAGTAGCCATGCCAACAAACCTTTTGCATAATCAAATCATACTTCCTCCTCCTTTAGATGTATACAACAGTGCTGACGAACTTTTTCAGAGTGTTCAAAGATTTGCAAATTCCCAAGGCTATGTATTAGTTAAAAAAAGAAACCGAAAAGATAAGTGTAGTGAATTAAAAAATATGGAACTATGTTGTGACAGAGGGGGTGTCTATTATAACCCTCTAAATCTAACTGAAAAAAGACAAAAAAGCACCAGATTAATCAACTGCCCTTTTGAATTATATGCTGCTCGACGTGGTGACAAATGGTATTTTGAGGTTCACGACGATAAACATAATCATGATCCCTTAGATGATATGTCAGGACATCCTATTGTCCATCAACTCACAGAGCAACAAATAGAAAATGTTGCATCAATGACTATTTTTGGTCCACGTCCTCGTGAAATTGTATTAACACTTCGACAAAATGATCCATCAGCACTAGTCACTAGTAGTGATATTTATAATGCACGTGCACAGCTTCGAAAACAAAATCTAGATGGCCGAACTCCTATTCAGGCATTAGTAGATGAGCTTCAAAAAGGCAATTTTTTATATGAATACAAATGTAATAATACTGGCTTCATTACCCATCTATTTTTTGCACATAATGAATCAATCTCTCTTATTCGCCAATACTTCACAGTAATTCTTATTGATTGTATCTACAAAACTAATAAATTTAAGATGCCTTTATTAAATGTTGTAAGTATAACCAGTTTCAATACCACTTTTTATTGTTGTTTTGTCTTTATAAAGAGTAAGGAAGAAGAGGATTACAAATGGGCTCTAACTCATATTATGAGATTGTTTAATGAAATACAAAAACCTGAAGTCATTGTAACTGATAGAGAGCTAGCCCTCATGGATGCTCTTAGAATGGTTTTTCCTAATTCAAATAATCTACTTTGCATGTGGCATATTAGTAAGAATGTCTTGAAAAATTGTAGACAACATTTTCCAAAAGAAACAGAAAATGAATGGCAAGGTTTTCTCGCAAAGTGGAATGATATTATTCAATCAGAAACGGAAAATGAATTTGGTATAAAGTGGAAAAATTTTTGTTCTACTTATATTAATAAGCCCAAAGCAATATTATATCTCCAAGAAACCTGAATGCCATGGAAGGAAAGGTTTGTGTATTGATGGGTGAAATTTAAATTATATAAAATTTTCGTAATGAAAATAAGCATTTTTTTAAAAAATTAAAAGTATATTCACCCTATCTATAGGTTCGTAAAAGCTTGGACAAATAAATTACTTCATCTTGGAACAATTGCAATATCCCACATTGAGGGTTCACATGCAACCCTAAAAGCATATTTGCAAACATCTATAGGAGATCTTCATCATGCTCATATGAAAATATCACTGGCAGTAACCAACCAAAGAAAAGAACTTGATACTATGATTGCATCTGAACGTATTTGCACCCCGGTTTTTGCTATTAACAATTTGTTTTATGCAAATATTAGAGATAAAGTGTCAACCTTTGCTCTTAAGAAAATAAATGAGCAGTATCAGAAGGTAAACCGTGCTACTGCTCAAAAGCCCTTACTACTATGCACCGGAACTTTCTCAAAAACTATGGGATTACCATGTGCTCATTTTATTCAACATTCGGGTTATCAAAGTCTAATGCTTAATAACATCCATAAGCATTGGTGGATTCCAGAAAACCTACCAGCACCACAAATTAATGATACTAGTTCTTATTACGAAGACCCACTACAACCACTTTTTCAAAACCTACAACAAAAATATCAAGAGTAGTCAGAATCCCAAAAATCAGCAGCACAAGATGCATTAAAGAGTATGATCAATGAACCAGCAGTTACATTACAAAACCCAGATGTAGTCCGTACCAAAGGACGTTTCTCTGGAGCTCTTAATCAGCAGCAAACTAATTCTACCAAAAGAGACCCTTCTGGTTTCAAATTGGTAGATAACAAAGTATGACATTGTACCCTTTGTCGACAACCTGGGCATAATACTCGCACTTGCAAAAATAAAAACAACTCAGTATAAAAAACTGTTAGTTTCTTAGTTTGATGTAAATGCAAAATTTTAGAAATAAAAAGTTTATGATCTTTGATCTTTATTAGTTTATTTTTTTTCTTGAGTACTGTACATAAAATATAAGTACAAATAAACCGTTTTTATAGTAGACAATACACTTATACCATAATTTAGTTGACTCATTTAGTGTCACAGTATTTAAATAAAAAGGTCTCATAAGTCTTTAAGTAGGTTATTAATAAAAGAAGCTATTATGACTAATCTACTTTTGCTTAATATAACTGTCAAGTAATGGTACGTACGTACGTATGTACATACTGTTTACTATATAGAATAGATGATTGTTTAATATCTCATTTTGTCATTATTAAATGATGGTGTAACATTATTGTCCAATCATATTTCAGGAATCTATCATCATTTCACGTGATCACGTGAACATCCGGAGATTTACGTGAAAGAGGGTACGAATAATAAATCTGGGGGGTATAAAAAATAATCTCCAAAAAATATATTGCTAAAATTAATATTTAAAATTTTATTAAAAAAATTATAAAAATATAGACAAATTTGTTTATATTACAAATTAAAGAATAATGCTATATATAGCACTATAATATTAAAAAAAATATTTTCTTTTTTAATTATTTTAAAAATAGTTTTTATATGCTATTTGCTAGCATATCTAGAGTTTAGAGCAGTATCATTTACTGTATTATTTGTTTTTTTTTTATTAGAGGCTTATTTTCCCTAGTTTTTAATATATAAATTATCAGATTTCATATATAAAATTCTAATTTTTTTTGACCCCCTCTCTAGAAAATCACTTAATAATTGTTAGCTCCCTTATTATTTACTAATATATAATTCATAGAAACTAAAAATTTTATAATAAAAACCTAGCAAGACTATTAAAATTAAAAAAAAATTATAAGATAAATATCAACTCTTTTTAATAATTATCTAAACCAAAATTTTCTACTAAAAAAAAACTATAACTACTTGGTGGTTTGTCCAAAAGTTAATTTGAGGTCTAGAAACTTCTTTAAAAAAAATATTTGGCATACAAGCCAAGAGTGTTATTATACAAGATAATTGGCAAACAGTGCCCTTGTATAAAAAATCTTGGTAAAGTATAGATAGTAAAGCCCAACTTTGTTAATGAAGCTGTTTGGTTGTTACTTTAGTAAAAGAATACAGAGGAAATAACAAGAAGTTTTGCTATTTTAATATACTCATTAGAAAAATTTTAAAAGTACTTGCAACTTTCTTCTCTCACTTCTACTCCTCTACTAATCTTCTATTTTTTTTTACAAAAAGTAGGAATTTGGTTTATTTTTTTCAAAATATTGGCATTGTTTACTTTTCTAATTTAGATATTTTTGGTAGAATATAACCATATAACATGTCTGTTTATAGTTATGGTGCTACTTTATAAAACATAGATCAAAATCTTGAAACCTATTGGTTTAAGAGATATTCGAGAGTAGCAAACTAGTTGAAAAATTTAAAATTTAAAATAAAGTCTTACATTAGAAATATACAACTGTTGCATTTGTCATACAATTTTTACCAGCTTGGTATAGGTTATAATAGTATATACTCTCTCTTACTCTTTTGATATTTTGAAGTTTTAACAATTAGGCATTTCTATATACCCTTTTAAAAAAACTATTGGTGGCAATATTGTCTTTATAGATAACCAATCCTTTCTAATTTAGAATACATTTAACAAAGAAGAATTTCACATGAGTAAATTTGATTTACTGCTTGGTTAAATGAATAAAAACTGCTATAGAAGATAGTTAGAAGGGCACATTATGAAATTTCTTATATTATAGATACTGTTTTTCTTTATTTTTTTTATTTTTTTTCTTTTAGAATAGATTTGTTTTCTATACAATATTATATAATTTTTATAGCCTGATACAGACAAAAATAGTATTGTCATGGCTGCTTTTTTTATAGCCTTTTTCTTCTTGTCTTTATTTTTTTGTATTTTGTTCTATTTTTTTTGTTTTTGTTTAGTTTAGTTATTTTTCTATTTTTTTACTTTTTTTATTTTTTAAATTTTTTGTTGTTTATTAGTAAATTTCTTCTATCTAGAATGCTAGAAGAAGAAGGTTAGAAAAGAAGGTGGCTATGACAAGCTAGTGAACTAGATTAGTGATTCGAGGTGGATCTTTATCTCATAGAGGTTTAGAACCAAACTGGGAAGGCTAAACTCATCTTTGGCAAGTTGCACATAGGTACTAGTAGTATTTAGATATCTAAAAGTAACCTGGTAAGCTGCAATTTAGTTTTTGTTAGTATAAACATAATGTAATTAATTATTTGTAAAGATAAATCCAAATCATTAAATAAAGTAAAGCTAGTGGCATAATCATCAAATTATAAAAAAAAAAAATTAAAAAAAAATTATATAATAACTATAATACAAATTACTATATATTAAAAAAATTCTATATAGTAAAATCTAAGTGAGTCTTGACCACTCTAGTAGGTTTAGGTTGCAGATAATTAGCTTTAGCTTTTAGTCTGAGCTCCTATTCTTGCATGTAATTTATAAATACTTGTTATTATACAAATTTAGTTTTTATATAGCTTCTATATAATTATTTATATAAATTACTTAATAAAGATATAAGCAAGGCCTTACCTTAATACCAAAAAAAAAAAAAAAAAAAATTCTATATAGTTACAAAATCTAAAATATAAATATTTTATAAGTTACTAAACCAACTTTAATAATTTTTTTATTTTTTTAATTATAAGGCACACTTAGACTTTATTAATACTTAAATGATTGATATATAATAGTACCTATATATATACATTATATCAAGTACTAAGACTAAAACATTAGATATACAAATCATTTATTCATAGCTAAAACCTACCAGAGCCAACTGTACTTTTACTATACTGTTGATTTGGATTTTGTATATTCCTACTCATTGCCATTTAACTTCCATATGTCCACTGCTTCACCCACATTATCTAGTATCTTAACTTCCAAATTGGTATATTAATGCTTCAAGTAGACACTTAATGCTTCCAGTTTGTACTTCTATTTGGCATACTTGTAGAGATTTGTATCTCAAGCTATGCAGCTGTCTCTACTCAGATAGATAAGTATTTCAAGTCTGTATACTACAACAACCAGCCTACTTTTTTGTAACTTTCGAAGTTTAGGTCTTAATATATTGAATTTGTTAATTGTGCAAATAGCTATACTCTCTTTTATGGTAATAAAAACCTAGACATGTTTTGTAACAGGTTATCTTGCACTTCTAAAACTAATAGTTGGCTAGCATTATAAATATACATATCAACAAAATTATTTCAAGTTCAAAAACCCAAAATTAAAATTTAAAGATGAAATTGTTTTTGATCTATTTTATTTAAAAGATGAAATTTTTTAATATTTTTTTTTTTTTTTTTTTTTTTTTTTTTTTTTTTTTTTAAATGATCATGCTATATACTTATGCTTTATTGATCATTAATTTAATCTAAAGAAAAAAGAATACATTTAAAAATATAGGTATATAACTCACCCAGTTATTTATATAAAATACCTAAATATTTATACATCTGTGTATGACTTGCCAAAGATGATTTTAGTCTCTTCAGTTTGGTTCAACCTATATTAAGCCAACCTGTCCAGTTCACCGACTTGGTTCACCAGCCCATTATGACTATCTTCTTTTCCAACTTTCTTCTTCTAGCCTCCTAGATAAAAAAATTCTACCAAAAAACAACAGGAAATTTACAAAATAAAAGAAATAAAAAAAGGGTAAATAACTAAACTAAATGAAAACAAAAAAATAAACAAAAAAAAAAAAGAGAAAAGGAAAAAAAGGTCAAAAAAAAAGACAGCCACAATAGTACTATTTTTGCCTGTATAAGACTACATAAATTATATAATTTTATATAGAATGAAATCTAACCTAACACTATATGTAATAAAAAAATTAGAAAAGAAAATAAAAAAAAAGAAAACGTCTAACATTAAAAATTTTTATACATAATCCCTCCAACCTCTAATACACCATCATTGCTTATTTGGCAAAGTATAATCCAAATAAGCCCATAGAAGATTCTATTTTGGTAGACACGTCCTAATTTGGAAGGAGTAAATACTGGCAATCTTTTGGAGGAGGTATGCTGGTTTTTCCACTTTTTGGCCAAAATTTTTTAAAAAAATTCAAAATAGCAAAAATATAGTGAAAAGTCTTCGGTTGCAAGTACTTTCAAAACTTTTAAGAAGTGTGATAAGATCCAAAACTTCTGTTGTTTTCCCTGTATTTTTTTTTAAAATAATAGTCTTCGGGCTTTGTTGATAAAGTAGCAGCCTGCTATATAACTTACTCTTTTTATCAAGATTTTTTTATACAAGGGCACCAGGATAACAAGCCCCTGCAAGTTATCTTGTATAATAACACACCTGGCTTGCATACCAAATATCCTCTCAGAAGAGTTTCCCAAAATAGAAAGTTAATCTCTACACAAATCACACTATAAGGCCACGACTCTTTAACAAAAGTTCTGTTTTCTGTTAGTTGAAATTTTGGTATGATTGATCGTTGGGAAGAGTTATTTGATTATGCCACTTTTTTTGAATAGATGAAATTATAAGGAGTACAAGTATTATTTATTTTCTAGAGGGTTTAATCATGTATAACTATATATATAATAATCTTTTTTTTTTACTATACTTTACTTTATTTTGCTTTACTTTAATTCACTTTACTTTATTTACTTTTTACTTTTTAATTTACTCTAATTCACTTTACTTTTCACTTTACTTACTTCACTTATTGTACTTTACTTTGCTTTTTTATTACTTTTTTTTTTTACTTATACATTTACTTAGGGGGCATCCATAAATAACGTTATGTTTGAGGGGGAGAGAGGTCCCCAAAATATAATGATATTCC